AGTAGACCTGCATAGCAGGAGTAAAATTGGTGAGATAGGAAGCGTGTTGCCAGTAGTTTATGGAAATGCCAGTTCATGCTGCTAGTTAGTGGAAAATACCATTATTTCTGTAGGCAGTAAGTTGTGAAAACATAGGATCTTAAAAGTGGTGGGGGCAATAACCTCTTTAAAAAAAAAAAAGTGTGATTCCCATGGTAATCTGCAACAAGAGTTGCTAAAGTAAGAAAACCAGTATGCGTCTGTACTGTGTTGAAAGAAGAATTATATTATGTGGGATCAGGTGATACTTTCAAGTGGTTCCCCATAAAGGAAGCTTTGAAAAAAACAAAACCAAACAAAAAACCCCAACTCCCCAAAACCAGCAACAACAAAAACCAAACCCCAAAACAAACAAGGTTCCATGCCTTCTTAGATGATCTGTTTTAGTTCATTGTACTTGATGCAGAATTTGCCAGGAATTTTGTAACCTGTAATAACATGAGTGGTCAGCTCAGATGATTGTGGTGCTTATACCACCTTACCACATGTTGGTCATAGAGGTCACCTGTGAAGAGCTACATGAGCATTTCAAACTGAGGTTACTTGTGGTAGGAGAGTAAAGATAAGGCATCAAGTTCTCAATCTGGTATTGATTTACTTGCTAGCTTCCACACATCTGCAGTGCATGTGCTTGTGTTCTCTGAGCAAAAGCTTAACACACTGAACATCAGTAGTTCTCAAGCTTTTAACTGAACCTCCCTTTTTGGTAATAGTTTGTTCCTCTCCTGGTCTTCTGCCAGCACCAAGCAGCTGTTAAATGAAGAGGGAAAGAGGAAGCAATTTGTCACAGCTGTGCAGCTTCAGCCCTGTCCTCTGGGAAGTGGAGCTGGAGCCCCAAAGCATTGTGTGGTTTCTGCTTTCCTGTATGGAGGTGGGAAGAGGTGGATTTGAAGCTGTGCCAGATTTCCTGCTGTCCCTTCTCTCTCTCTTCCCATCCCAGAGCAGAGTGGTCAGTAATAACCAAAACATCTGGTTGCTTCCATTCCTGAGTGTAAGCCACACATTGCTTTGGAGCTGTCAGCTGCTGCCTGGGCAGGCATGGTATTGTCTTGGGACATGGCATGGTTCCTTTCCTGTGATATGTTCTGTGCCTCCACTCCTGTCTGCAGAGTGTTAAAGAGAATAGCTTTTGCTCTTCAAATGAGAAGAAGCTAGGTTGGATTTATTGGTGGCCCATGCCTTTCAGCACCAGTTGCAACTGTTTCAAAACATTTAATGTTTGGTTTTTTTTTCCCAAAGTCAAAATATTTTGTGTCTTACATGATGTAAATCTGTATTTAATTCTTGAAAATAATCTACATTATTTGTAGTTTTCAAAATATTCAGTAGAGGAAGGCAAAGGGAGCAGGACTTGAAAATGTAGTTGAAATGGGTATTTTATGGTTGTTGGAAGACTGAGGGAGGGACACAGCCAAGAAACTGTGAGAGAATAGGATGGCACACCTGCAATCACATTATGAACTGTTAAGAGAGATCTGGGATGTATATATATACATGCAGTATTGTATGTATTAAGAAATTTAGGTTTTTAGACTTGATTATCAGATCAAGATTTTTTCATTGCTTCAAAATCTCTTTGTGGAAGTTACTTTTATATAATTCGCCTTTTGTTGCAGCTGACTGCCCCCCCCCCCTCCCCCCCCGCAATAGAAAATACTAAATATGGCTGTGAAAAAGATACTGAAGTAATCTGAAGAATAGTATTTATTGAATTTATGAGAATATTTAGTGGGAACAGGCAAATCTGATCTCTTGAGTTAGTATCAACTGCTTGGTGTTGAGTCTGGTAAAGCAGTAGATAACCTGGATGGGTTATGCGATTAGGATAATGAAGTTCATACTTTTCCTTAACCATATTAAACAGTGTGAAGTAGAAGTAGTTTTAAAATTCCCTTTTATGAAAACAGGGCTTAATTAAAACCATAAAAATCTCATGGTAACAGCAGGCATGATGGCTTTAAGCCACTTTAACCTTTTCGAAAGAGAAAGTGGACTTTATTTCACATACTTCTGGATTTCTGTGATTTGTTTGATCTTCCTAAACTAAGCTCCTCTATATTGAACAAAATTTGAGGTCACAGATCCATGCAAAACTGCCTTAGTTTAACTGCCTTATAAGTAAAAATGTTAATAACAAAAAAGACCCCAAAGAAACAAACCTGTTTCTCCTCTGGCTCTTTAAAAACAGGAGGAGGGGGGGAAAAAACCCAAACCATGAGAAACCGTGATAAACTGGAACCATGTAGTTAATAGTTAATACTAGAGTATGCTAATCTCTTTCAAGGATAGCTCTGCAGCTAGGGTGTAAAATGGAATAATTAAATACATGAGTTTCCCCTGTTAAAAATGCTTTCATTTCTCTCCCTCCCTTCTCACCCTCATTTCTTTACATAGTAATGTCCTTAATTGAACCCCATAGGTCAACTGTAAGGAGTCACCATTTAATTCCATTGAGTTTTAATTTTATAAATGGTGGCTCTTTAATGATTAATCTGTATGATCCCTATGTCTGTCTAAAACCAATTTAAATGGTTTTTGAGACTTTCAAATTGGGGAAAAAACCCCACACTTTTCACAAGTATCTTCCAGTGTGTGTCCTACTGAATGTAGGTGTATATAGAGAGATAAGTATCTATAGATACAAAAGGCTTTATTATTAGTGAGAACTAAACTGCAATGGTGTATATATCTACTTGCATACCTAAGTATGTACATATTGGGGAGGACTGTTTATAAGAATAGAATATTTCAGTTGGAAGGGACCTACAACGGTCTTCTAGTCCAACTGCCTGACCACTTCAGGGCTGACCAAAAGTTAAAGCATGTTATTAAGGGCATTGTCCAAATGCCTCTTAAACACTGACAGGTTTGGGGCATCAACCACCTCTCTAGGAGGCCTGTTCCAGTGTTTGACCACTCTCTCCATAAAGAAGTGCTTCCTAATGTCCAGTCTAAACCTCTCCTGGTGCGGCTTTGAACAGTCCTGTCCCTGGGTACCAGGGAGAAGAGACCAGCACCTCCCTCTCCACTTGCCCTCCTCAGGAAGCTGTGGAGAGCAACGAGGTCACCCCTCAGCCTCCTCTTCTCCAAACTAGACAAACCCAAAGTCCTTAGCCGCTCCTCGTAGGACATTCCTTCCAGCCCTTTCACCAGCTTTGTTGCCCTCCTCTGGACACGTGTGAGTACCCCAACATCCTTCTTAAGTTGTGGGGCCTGGAACTGCACACAGTATTCGAGGTGAGGGCGCACCAATGCTGAATACAGCGGGATAATCCCCTCTTTTGACCGGCTGGTTTTGCTGTATTTAATGCACCCCAGGATGCACATCTTGGCTGCCAGGGCACACACTGCTGACTCACATTGAGCCTGCTGTCGACCGGCACTGCCAGATCCCTTTCTGCAGGGCTGCTCTCCAGCTACTCCTCTCCCAGTTTATACTTGTGCTTGACACTACTCCATCCTAGGTGCAGAATCTGGCATTTCGACTTGTTACATTTCATCCCATTAATCATTGCCCAATGCTCCGATCTGTCTAGATCCCTCTGCAAGGCCTCCTGTCCCTCAAGAGAGTCAACAGCACCTCCCAGTTTGGTATCATCAGCAAACTTGCTAATGGTGCATTCAACTCCTGCATCCAGATTGTTGGCCCTAGAATTGAACCCTGTTTCTTGAACCACAGATACACTTGAATAAATCACTGTTGGTTCAGATCACTTAGGTTAATAGGATCGTTTCTGACCTAATTTTAGTCAGGATTGTAAAGCTGTGTTTTGAAGGCACCTTCTTCCACATATAGTATAGCTATCCTAGTGATAAGATAGGGAGATCTCTGAATGTGGATGAACTGTATGTACCTGAGCGTTTTACAGTGTGTGACTTCAGAACAGTTCCTTCTGTTAAGCATGTAAACACTTAGGTGAAGACCAAGGCTGTGGCCAACTGGTATGTTTTGGTAGCATGCTAACCAGAGGGCCGTGTTAGGTTTGGAGTAGGTGGCCACTGCACCAACGGTTACTGGAATTGAGGCGAGGGTACCATGATGTTAAAGCTGTAATATTTTGGGGGAGGATGAAGGAAACTTAGAGTGGTGACAGTGAACAAGAGGTGTTGTATAAGGACACTCATGTCTTGTCTTTGAGAAATCTGTGTGCAGTGACTTTAACAGTGTCTTGCTCTTCTAGATGCTTTGGCTTTGTTGTAAATCCCATTTTATAAATGTGCTCTTGAAATAGAGAAGTTTTTATATCTCTTTTGTGAATTTTTATTGTCTAAAATGTCTAATCAAGTTCCACCAAGGAATGTATAGCAGCAGCCTTTAACAATATGGCTGTAATATTAGTCTCTTATAATCAAACGATCTAGTTTAGAGATCATCTTTGTATGGTTCTTGCAGAAAGGGCAGCTATGTCTTAACCACAAAAACTTATTTTATAAAAATTTAGTGTATGACTAAATGTTCATCTATAAGTCAGAATATTCTCCTGATGCTAGGATCTGTAATATTTTCATGGAAACATCTCATTACTTAATTTTTGCAAGAGATTCTTATTGCTTTTTTTAGTGTGTTTTGTTTTAGTAGGTTTGTGTTTAGTAATATTTAATTTACTGTAAAGTAATCTCAGAGGGACTCAAACCTGGTGTCTTATGCTTCACTATAGGCCATTTTCTTACATTTTTCCATCCCCACAGTCTTTAAGTGGTGTTACCTTCTCTGCAGATATATCCAGTTAAAAAAAAAGGGCATTGGTTATAAAATAACACAAGCTATTTTTGGATCCTGAAAAAATTTAAGCTGTAACATGGAATAATGTTTAGCTCAAAACAGTTAAAAGTGTGTCTAGAATCTACTCATGCATATTTTAGTAAGTTTTTTAACAGATCACTGAACCTGATTTTTTTAATGCTGATCTTTAATTATTCTATTACTGAAAAACTAAGTTGAAATTTCTTTTTGTTTGCAGATAAAGCCACCTGAGTGTGCTAGCAAGTTACAGAACAGCTGTCTTCTCAAACGTGTAACCAGAAAGGGTATTCTCTACTCCCTTATTTTAAATGGTAAGTTGTTCAAGGGATGTCTTGCTGAACATACCTTGTTGCTTACTTTGCATTTGTGTGAGTCTATTACAAATAGCTTTGAAAACTGTGGTAAGTCCTTAAACTGAAGACCAGTCACAAAGTTTGGAAACTGTTCAGAAGGTTTTGAGTTGTCATTGGGAAGGAGGTTTATATTTTTGTGATGTTGATGATGTGCTGTATTAGGCCCTGAAACAAATGTCAAAAGTACTGCTAGCCCAGGAGACTAGTATCATTTAAATGCTAATCTTATTGTGTAGGAAACAGAAATAAATTTAGTTTATTCATGGATGTTCATGAGATATCGGATTTGTAAATTTGCATCTGTTAATTACTTTTACCCTGCATAATATGTACTTTGCTTATGTGTCATCTTGGAGATTTAAACTAAATCTGCTGAGGTTAAATGTTTGATTGTTTGCCTCAAAGTGCAATGGATAATAAGATTTCTATTTATTGATATTAAACTAACTTTGTGGGGAAAAATCCCCCTGTCCCCCAGTCTGTCTCAGCTGCAACACACACGCACCAGAGACTTTAAGATGAGAACTATTGTGTTGGTGGATAAGTATGGAAACAGCTGTGTTGCACTTCCTTCACTGTGTAATGGAAGATGTGGGCTAAACTGGGTGGTGCTAATGAAGGACTACTGCCAAAGTGCAGACAATTTTGCTAGAATGTAAGTAAATCTGCTTATTACAACTTTTTGGGGGGGGGGGGGCACTGTAGCTTGTCTGCTTCTGCAGTGGGAAAGAGAAACCTTTTGAGCAGAGGAAGAAGCTGGAGAGCACGTTTGTTGCTCTTTCTTCTGAGAGTATGAGGAGGTTAGAAGTAGTATTAGCTACTTGTAGGAGAGGTGGCTTTCTTCCTGTATTGCATACCACAGTGCTGCCTTTGGCAGAAACAGCAGCCAGCCTTGCTTCAAGGTCTCTGAAATAAGCAAAGTATGCAGCAGTGCTTTAGGATACTGTTGACTTTGCCCATGTCCTAAAGCTGACCCTGGCTATGATCCTTTGGCACACTTTGTCCCCTCAGCTGAAATTCACATATGCTTATTTTAATTTGGAGTTCTGATTATATGCTTGATGATACTCAAGATGCTTGTCAGTATGTATGTTGTAGAAGAGATTGCACCCTAAATTAGGAGAAACTCAAAGAAAGGAGTTCTTGAAAACTCTGCTATGTATGCATGCATTCACAATGTTAAGCAGGAAACTTTATTGTAAAGGATGAAGGGATGAGCAAGCAATATGATACACACAAAAATGTGAAAGGTATGGTAGCAGCCTTGGAGGGAGAAGGATAAACAAAACCCCATTCTTTCCCCCTTCTGCACCTCCTGCTGTTCCTATTAAATGTTAAGGTAACTTGATGGTTGTATACTGAAATTGTTTGTAAAAAATATCACTTGCTGTAAATTTCAAAGGCAGAGGAAGTGTGTCAGGGAAAGTAAATAGTCTGCAAAAAATTTGGTAAACCAAATGGTCATATCAAAGACTGAAAATACGCTTCACTACTAGATTATTGGATTAGCATATTGCTTATTGAATGAAAGTGACATTTATTCCTCTTATATATGTATTTACAGTGTCCTGAGGTGTCCTGTGGTAACAGGGGTGTGCACACACATGAATGTCTGTGCAAAGGTGTCTCCAGTAGGTAGTCCATATCTATGGTCACTCCAGTAGCTGACTTTAAGAGCCCTGATCTCCAGTATCTGGCACCCAGACTTACGTTCTCTCTAGTAGCTGGTTTTACAGACCACTTCTGCTGCTCTTGGGATTAAAGAAGTTACTGCTGTCATATTTTAACTTCTGGTGTTCCTTTTTCTCTATTATAAGCTTAACAATTGTTACACCACTGTTATATTTCAGTTGCATTTCATGCTGCATGGAAACAACATTGCTTGCTTTTATTCATAGGAGGTTGTAGAGATTAGTTGTTACAGGAATAAGAACCTAGGTTTAGAAATATGTTACCTAGGTTGTATTTATTCACAAAACTTCAAAAATTGTTTTGAGATATCTGCTGTTCATACTCAGGGTAGTATTATCAAATATTTTCAATTTCTTTGTGCAGGTTAAGCACAACTTTCCTGTAGAGTTTAATTGATATGTGTTTAATAGTCTGGAGTTTATTGTAGTTGCCGGAGACTCCAGGTAGGGCCATTCTCTCTGGCTGCGGTATAGAGCACATGTTTAACATCTTGTCCTGCCTGGACTGGCCCAAGGGCTACTGCATGAACAATCTCCCATTTAATTTGTTCAAAGGCTTGTTGTTGCTCAGGGCCCCATTTAAAATCGTTGTTCTTCCAGGTCACTTGATAGAGAGGGCTTACAATCGGACTGTAATTTGGAGTGTGCATTCTCCAAAAACTCAAAACACCTAAGAAAACATGTTTCTTTTTTATTAGTTGCTGAAGGCATAGCTGCTATTTTGTTGATCATGTCCATTGGGATCTGACGACATCCATCTTGCCATTTTGTTCCTAAAAACTGGATCTCCTATGCAGGTCCCTTGACCTTTCTTTTATGTCAAAACTGGCTTTCAGAAGGATTTGGATTATTTTCTTCCCTTTCTCAAAAACTTCTTCTGCTCTGTCGCCCCATACGATGATGTCCTCAATGTATTGTAGGTGTTCTGGAGCTTCACCCTTTGCCAGTGCAGTCTGGATTAGTCCATGGTAAATGGTGGGGCTGTGTTTCCACCCCTGGGGCAGTCGATTCCAGGTGTACCAGACACCCCTCCAAGTAAAAGCAAACTGTGGCTGGCACTTTGCTGCCAGAGGGATTGAGAAAAATGCATTAGCGATGTCAATTGTGGTGTACTACTTGGCTGCCTTTGAGTCTAATTCGCATTGAATTTCTAGCCTGTCTGGCATGGCAGCACTCAGTGGTGGTGTGACTTCATTCAGGCCATGATAGTGAACTATTGGACTCCACTCTCCATTAGACTTTTGGACCGGCTGTATGGGATTATTAAAGGGTGAGTTTTGCTGGTCGCTCCTTGGCGCTCTAGTTGATGACTCAACTTATGGATGGGAATCAGGGAGTCTTGGTTGGTATGATATTGCTGCCGGTGCACCATTGTTGTGGTAGCAATTGGCACTTGTTCTCCAACCCTCAGCAACCCCACATTCAAAAGGTCCTGAGAGAGACTAGGCAGGGTAGACAGCTGTTTAATTCCCTCCGTCTCCAAGGCAGCTATACCAAGAGCCCACTGATACCCCTTTGGATCCTTAAAATACCCTCTCCTGAGATAGTCCATGCCGAGGAGGCATGGAGCCTCTGGGCCAGTCACAATGGGGTGTTTGTGCCACTCGTCCCTTGTTAGGCTTACTTCAGCCTCCAATACAGTTAACTGTTGGGATCCTTCTGTCACACCAGAAATACAGATGTGTTCTGCCCCTTTTGTAACTTGATGGCATTAGAGCGCACTGTGCACCAGTGTCTACTAGAGCGTTGTACTCCTGTGGGTCTAACGTGCCAGGCCATCGAATCCACACAGTCCAATAAACCTGGTTGTCCCTTTCTTCCACTTGGCTGGAGGCAGGGCCACTCTAATCCTGCTCAGAGTATCCATTACCTTCTTCTTGTAAAATTGACTTCAAAGTCCCTTCAAGAGAATCAGAAATAAGATCAGCCCTTCTACTCTGTTTGGAAACTGGAGTGGCATTTTTGCTTGAAAGAATCCCCTTCTGTGTTTTTTTTTGTCATCATAACTCATGTGCCCATACATCTAGGACCGAGGTAGGTTTTCCATCCACTTCTTCATGTTCTCTCTGTGGTTGCACAGGTAAAACCACAGGGTACTCCATGGTGTCTGCCTTCTATATTCTCTCTCTTGGGCAGAGGAACACTCACTCCTAATAGCTGAGATAGTGGTCTGTACAGGTATCCTCTCTGAATTGCTGGAAATCCCAGGACAGCTTCTCCACAGCTGAGATGCAGGCTCGTAGGGGGGAAGAGAGATTTTCTTTGTATTGCTGGAGTTGGTGAGCCGTTCCATCCACTACTGGTGTCTCTTCGTCTTTTCAGGTCAGTACTGCCAATGGGTTGGCATATGACAATGGTGCGTTCGGTACAAACTTCTGCCACACGGGTTGTGTGCGTTGTCTGAATCTCTGGGTAATTGTGTGTTGTCCGGGTCATAATAGATCATCTCTAGCATGGCTAATTCCCTTAGGTACTGGATACCTCTCTCCATGGTGGTCCACTTGCCTGGTTGACATAGAACATCTTCCTTGAAGGGGTACCTTTCCTTCACGCTGGACAGGAGTTGCTTCCAGAGGCTGAGGGCTGGTGTCCCTTTTCCAATTGCCTTGTCAATGCCACTTTCCCTAGAAAGTGATCCCAGCTGCTTGGCTTTCTTACCTTCTAATTCCAGGCTATTAGCCCCATTGCCCAAGCATCGGAGCAGCCAGATGATAATGTGCTCACCTGGACGATGGCTGAAATCTTGTTGCATATCCCGCAGCTCACTCAGGGATAGGGATTGGGTGATTACCTCTGGTTCTGCCTCTTCCTCCTGTTCTTGTGATGACCCTGGTTCATGTTCATCTTTTGCTAAGTGAACTGATTTTTTTGTATATTTCTTCGTCTGTATGGGGGCAACTGATACTGGTATGGGTTAGTTTGCTGGTTCAGCTGTGGTGCCTGTGGTCGGGGTTGGAGTGGCTGCAGTGCCAGTCGCCTTGTTGTCAGATCCAGAGACCTTCTCTTCCCCTTGAGGGTACTGAGTAGTGTTGAACAGGGCTTGACAGGCGTGGGCCAGGCCCCAGCACATTGCAGTAATTTGTGTCTCCCTGGAATGGTTGGGATGACAGCATACTTCTTCCAAATGTTCTACTAGTTTTTCAGGATTCTGCACTTGTTCAAGGGTGAAGTTCCAAAACACTGTAGGTGCCCACTCTTCTAGGTACTTGCCCGTACTACCCCGCACACTGTGCCACTTGTAATTATCCAGCCTTGGGGCAGATCTCT